GGTCACTATGTAATTAACATAAATTTATTGTAATTAATGATTGGTAATTAATATTAAAATTAATATTTTTAAAATTTAAATTATGAATAAAATTAAGATATAAATAGAGAGTTTGATTGATAATTTTTTAATTTTTAAAAGATTTTTAAATTATAAAAAATATTAATCAAGAATAAAATTTTTTTAAAATATTGATCATAAAAAAAATAATATATACAACGCAAATATAAAATTTGACCTTAAAAATATGTGTCAAAACTTTTATAATAAAAAATTATTGATAGAATTGCCATCACCTATAGATACTTTTACCCTCTTTGATTCGGATCATATGATACTTAAATGAAATGAATAAAATAATGAGAGATAGTTGACTCTAATTATACAAACCATATGCATCCACTCTTGTTTTTTTTTTTTTATTAATAAATTTACAAGAGATCGAATTCAAACCGTCACTTAAAAAAAAAAAAGAATACACTTATACGTGATCTGACGCTACTAGATTTCAAGTTCGTATCTACTCTTGTTTTTTTTTTTTTTTTTTTTGAACATGTATCTACTCTTGTTTTGAATACGAAATATAGTGAAAATGCCATTTTCTAGAGACTTTCCAATAAAGTAGTAGAAGATTTAGAATATAATTATGCTTCTCTTTTATAATTTATACTGGAGAATATTTCCTCTAACTCAAGGCGCAAAGGAATATGACCAATGCAGCAATAAGCAAAGCCGGGGAAATGCAGGAGAATCAAACTATTCTAACATTAATTGCATTTGCTTTCAACTTTGATTAGAATATTGTGGAGAAATCTTCTAATATATGATTAGGCGTTTAAGTCTCTGTATTCGAAACTTCAAATTCAAATGCACCAACTTTATAATGCATGTAATTATTACATAAACTTTGATTATCAAAAATATGAAAATGTGCCACCTTTGCCAAAGAACAAAATCAGATTAGTGAAGTCAGTGCTGTTCTGTTCTTTTTTGTTGATTCCATTCCCCCTTTACTAAAGATCTTAGGTGGCCGATAAGAGGCATCTTGTACCGTACAAAATGGACACATTCGGCTATTCTGTATCTATTTTTTATCCTATAGTAATGAGGTAGCAGTTTTTCAGTTCCGATCCGTAAAAAAATTTTAGTTTGGATTGTAAATTATATTAAGAACTATATTATAATTATAATATTATATAAAATTATAAATTTATAATCGTAACATAATATAAAATAAATGAATATATATAATATTATAAATGTAATTATAAATAAAAAACTAATTATATATATTATAAATTTATAATATCATTTAATATTATAGTTATAATATTTTCGTTTAATACCACCTAATCATCAATATTCCATGAATCACTTAGATGAGAATTTTAGCAGTGTCAATTAAGACTCGTTATTCTTTTTAATTACCCTTAACTAAGTAAAATAAAAAATTTCACTTTTTTTAAAATCTGAACTGCAACAAACGGATTAAAAAAAGTCATTGGATGGGGGACCATTCCCACATTCAATGGATGAGATTTGATAATTCCACAGAGACATTTTTTTGGAAAAAAAAGGCTTAATTCAATTTTGAGTCTATTAACTATAAACTTAATTTTATTTTAGTTTAAAAAGTTTATTTTATTTCTAAATGGTTTATAAACTTTAGAAATATTTCAAAATAGTCTATCAGTACAAAATTTTGTTAGATTTAACGAAAAGTAGTTTTTTAAGTTTTGAAAAAGTGACATTATAATTTTAATAAAATATGATGACTTGAGAAATATTTTATAGAGATAAATTAATTAAAATTTGTAATAAACTTGAGCAATTAGTCTATTTTACAAGATATATTCTATGCAATATGTTCTAAAAAATTATTTAAATGTTTCTGAAAAAATAATATAAAAATAAAATTAAGGACATTTGAATCATTTTACAAGATAGACTGCAAACAGTTCGTTCCGTAAAACAGTTTTCTAAAAAACACATTTAGCAATATTAGATTAAAAACTATTTTTATGGTAAATATAAATTTAAGGACTAAAAGATCAATATAAATATAGTTAGAGGATTGAATATTTTCTTAAAGAATAAAAAGATTCCTTAAAGATAACGGACATTTTCGTTAAAGATAATGGATTAGATGAAATTAAAATAAATGTGAAAGATAATAGACAAGATTAAAAAAATTCAAAGATAATGAATGAAACTGAAAATAATATAAAACTTAATAGGTGATTTGTTAAATTAACCCGAAAAAAAAAATCGTAACCAATTTGGATTGGGCTAGCTCTGAGAGCAAGCTGGGCCCGTTTGATTGAGTCCAAGAAATCGAGAATCCAAGACGGTAGTGGGTTAGTAGCTAAATACTCAGTAGACCCAAAACCCAAAACCCAAAACCCACGTCCTTTTTCCCATCCGTTTTCCGAGAGACTCACTTTCTCGAACTTTCCAATTCACCACGGGTAACAGCAGCTCTTCTCGCTCCCGGTCGCGGTCGCGATCGCGATCACGGCCCCGGTGGGGATCAGCCATGGCCACCGGTAAATCCGTCCTTACCTCTTCTTCCTCCAAATCCAATCCTGCTCCGCCGTGGTTCGACTTCTCCTCCGTTTCGACGTTGAGAATTTCAATCACTGCCGATCAGTACCAGTATTGTTCTGAGGCTCTGAGGTTGCTCAACGAGAAGCTCCAGATGCCTCATGAAATAACCAAAGAGTTTACTAAATTGCAGGTTCTGTTCCTCATAGTTCTCTCTCTTTTTTTCTTTCATTTAGAAAGTGGAAATCTTTGAACACCCCACCTTTCTTTTATTCCCGGAAAATAGCTTTGTCAACTAGAATTCTTTCATGGGAAGCAATTTAGGGATTCCTTCTTACTCTTGATTATTTTTGCTTGAGTCATGAAGCTGTTGGCTTTATTGTTACAAGTCTTTTGTATTTGTGGTTTCAGGCCAATAGAATTAGACCGTCTGAGATGGCAAGAAGCTGCACGGTAGCTCTTAACAGTTCCAATATAAGCAAAAATCGCTACACTGATGTTGTACCATGTAATGAAAATGTTCAAATTGTTTTCCTGGTTAAATTGCCTTAGTGATTAGTTGTTTGTGCTTATGTTAGTCTAAAAAAATGAACGTTACTTGGGTGATTTGTCCCGTGTTGTTTTTTATTTCAGTTGACAAGAATAGGGTTGTCCTTAATTCCTGTAAAGATTACAGACCATCTGCAAAGGGTTATATCAATGCGAGCTTTATCACAGTATGATTCTATGCTTTTTACGATATAGAAATCTGTGTTCTTGACATAAAAAGTACTGATAGCCATTTTTTCCTCTACATGTTTAATGTAGACTCCTTCCCCAGAAAAAGTTTCTCAGTTTATAGCCACACAAGGTCCATTACCACACACCTTTGAGGATTTCTGGGAGATGGTTATTCAATGTCATTGCCCTGTCATTGTGATGCTTACTCGATTGGTGGACAATTTCAAGGTATTTTGCTGTGTAGACTGTAGGGTTAAAGGTGACCTATTGAAAATGGTTTAATTTGTACTCAAGGTCTGGTGCAAAATATGTAGAGCTAGCATTTCTAGTCCTACGGTGGAAGGGAATTTATATGGTTTGTTCTTGTTCTTATGTAGATTTTTTATGTTTTTTTGGGTGTGTGTGTGTGCAGACAGTAAAGTGTGGGGATTATTTTCAAGCAGAAAATGGTCCTAGAGAATTTGGCAATATATCTGTTGTCACTAAACAGTTACAAACTACAGAGACTTCATTGGTGTTGCGCAGCTTGGAGGTAAATCATAAGGAGGTATGTCTTTTGTTCTACAAAATCAATCTGCTAGACCATGCTACCAATGGTTTACAGTTAATTAATGTGGTGTGGTGCTGACAGGATGGCAAGAGATTATTTCAATTTGGATTCTTACTATCATTATTTTTGTTTTATTTTATATCTTGTTGCAGACGGATAAGCCACCGCTGTCTGTTTTGCACTTTCAATATCCAGAATGGCCAGACCATGGTGTCCCCGCTGATACATTTGCTGTTCGTGAAATCTTTAAAAGATTATATCATGTTCCTGTTAATATTGGCCCAATAGTGGTGCACTGCAGGTTCAACTCATTTATTACTCTGTACGCCTCAATTATGTTCAAGCAATCATAAAACTAACTATGCCTGAGACAATCTTTTTCTTGCTCAGTGCAGGTATTGGGAGAACTGGAGCATACTGCACGATTCATAACACAATCCAGAGGATCCTTATGGGCGATATGTCTGCCTTAGATCTTGTTAGTACTATATCCATGTTTAGGTCTCAGCGAATTGGAATGGTGCAAACAGTGGTATCGCTTCCATCCTAGTTTAAACTTCCTAATTTACTTTGTTTGCACTAAATTCAAATTTAAACATATTACCAGGCTATAACTTCTCATGGTTAGTAGTAATGCTGAGTAGACCTTGTCATTAGGCATTAGGTCCACGTACCTATCCTCTGAAACTTAATGGTCCTTGATCCGATTGCTAGTTTGATTTGTAGTTAGTGAACATGTAGCTATTCTATTATTGGATATAGGATATCTATATGGCAATGGCATCTATCTTCTAGTAGTTTTGGTTGATGTCTTAAATAAGTGCAGAGTATAGTGACTGTAATTGTATATTCATTTATACAACTAGTTATTGGTCTGTTATTTTGTGTTTCTTTTTGTGAAAGATGGTGTTTCTTCCCAACAATGCATGTAGATTTTCTTATTGGACATGCTGCAATTTGGTTTCATTTTTAGTAAGAAATGTATTGTGCCATTTTATTCTTTGCTTTTGAATTTTGTGTAACAAGAGAGATTATGCTGGTGTCATGTACACTGTTTCTTTTTAATTTCTTTGTGATTCAGTAATTCTATCGAAGCATTTTATCTTTGGAGAGAAAAGATGCCTGTGACCGGTACAATAATTTTTTAAATATTGTGGATACTAAAAGCTACCCGTTTTAGTATTTATCTTAATGGGTTTTATTCACATGGTGAAGGAATGGGATTGGCAACTCTTTGGTCTGGTCCAGTTCTTCAGTTCTTATAAATATTACAAATCAAGAAACTTTATATTTGTTCTGTCCAGATGTTGCCTTGGTGCTTCCTTCCTTATCAGTCCAGTTGTTAATATCAAGTAGAGAAGAAAAGATTTCACATTTTGTTGTTATGGTGACCATTCTGTTAAGTTATATTCTGTTCATGCGGACAGCAAACTCATCTCATCTATTTATCAAATTTTGACCGACTCTACTTCCTGTAAATTAGGGGCAATATTTTTTCTGCTACAAAGCTATAGTTGATGAACTGAATGACCTCATTTCAGAGTTCAAAGGCAGAAGCAACTCGAAATGGTATGTTTGTCAGATCATTTGAATTGATCAAGGTTTTTACGTAATTGTAAACCATGTACCTTGAAATATTGACAATCAAAGTCCTTCATTTTTAGATTGGATATATTTTCTATCGGTGAAATATCCTATTTTGAGTATTTGTTAACCAAATTGATGTTTTACATTTGGCAGCTAGATTTCTCTGATTAATACCCGATCTGATTGAAGTTATGAGAGGCAAATAATGTGGTTATCTCTTAAAGTGGGGGACATCCATTAATCTGTGCCGCTGCTTCCATTGTGGCATCTGGAGAAAACCAATAATTGTGCTGATCTACCAACTCGATTGGGTTACTTTCAATTTAATTAGCAGCCGTTCCTTGAGAAATGTAGGAATATGAACGAAATACTGATTGCAGGTTGCCCCCAAAATTTTCCACGTATGGAATAAAGGGCTTGTATTTCCATGTTTGTACAATATCAACAGTCCTGTATCTCTACCTCACTCTCTTTCTACATAGTGGAATTGCATTTTTCATTCCTGTAAACCTGTAACTCTAGAGTGCATGGGGCGAATGATGGCAAACATTTCCTGTTTCATCCCTTTTTATGAGTGCTGTTCGAGTCAAAATTCTTACAATAGTGCTGAATCATGAACTCATGTAATTGCTAAGAAGCCTTGGATTGTAAGGCACAACTCTTTGAATCAATGAGGTTTTTCATAATTTTAACCTTCCAACTTGTAGGCTATTTCAATCCATACTTGAGCTGGTTCTTTTATTGGCGAGTTTATGGACCAG